GTGAATGCAGGCTACTACCAATCGATCAGCGTGGAAGGCATTGGGGGAGGCCTATGTTCAGCAGTGGACGTCCTATGGCTGAAATGATGATGATGATGAGTTTATTTATAGTCGGCCGTTTGGTGTAGTGGTTCAGAACGGACTACTATGCCGAGAGGACCCGGGTTCGATTCCCGGCCGGGCAGAAATTGAAATAATCCGTTAAGCTAGCACCCATAACACAAGCATTAAGTTGCTTACTTTGGGGCTAGCTGGTGCTGTGTGAAATCATCCAAAGATTTATTTATTTACTAGCTTTCCGCCCGCGGCTTCGCCCGTGTGGAATTTTGTCTGTCACAGAAAAACTTAATCGCGCGCGTCCCTGTTTCAAAAACCGGGATAAAAACTATCCTACGTCCTTTCCTGGGACTCAAACTATCTCTATGCCAAATTTCATCATAATCGGTTCAGTGGTTTAGGCATGAAAGAGAGACAGTCCTCGGCCCCTTTATTCTCCGTCTTCCTCACCGCGTCCGACCATCTCGTCAGTGCCCTGCCCCGAGCGCGTCTGCCTTCCATTTGTCCCAAGATAATTTGTTTCTCCAGGCAATGCCTTAGATACTGCTTATTGTGTCCAAAGAAACAGAGGGTACGCTGGGAGGTGTCACTGTATAGTTAGCGTTAGTTTGGACCACCCAATGTAGCCAAAAAGTTTACAATGCAACGTTTGTAGGTACTTAATAATTAATTAATATTGTTTTATAAAGACTGAAAGATGTGAAAGTTAATAATAATTGATCATTAATTATAATAGTTTTTTTTACCCGATTACAACAGAAGAACAGTTGTTTTTTTAATCTCTACTAATATTATAAATGCGAAAGTAACTGTCTGTCTGTGTCGCTTTGACACCTAAACCACTAAACCGATCTTCATGAAATTTGGCATAGAGATATTTTGAGTCCCAGGTAAGGACATAGGATAGTTTTTATCCCGGTTTTTTATACAGGGACGCGAGCGATAACGATTCTCTGTGAAATCTAGTTTAAACTATATGACAACTTCTCATCTTCAACTTAAAAAGTATAGTCATTGATATCATTGAGTTGGGCATGCTTAAAATGTTATTAACCTTATGTATTTTGTTTCAGGAATTACTAATGGATTGTAAGGAGCACTATTTTTAAGGAAAAATAAAAAAAAATCACAAAACTTATGCAGTATTTAATTTATTATGGCCTTATTATTAATATCACAAGATAAATGCACAAGTTACATATTATTTTAGTATTTGTTTACATTTCAATTAATTTTTAAGTTGTTAATAACATTTTTTTTGGAAATGTAAATTAGATAAAAAGTCAAGTTCTGTAAATGTCGCTATAGATACATGTTCAAAACCTTGACAACACTTGTTTCTGATTGGGGCTCGATTGAATCTGTGGAGAGAAGAAAAGATACACATTTATCAGTATTCATACTAGACAAGCTCCTTAAAAATTAATAAATAAACTACAAATCAGTGATATAATTTTTAAGACAGATATAACTTCCGAGTTCTATTCCCAGGTGGGTCACACGAATTAAAATCCGTGGAACTCACTAGCTTCAGTCAAATGATGCATGTCTTAGCTAGTATTAGTATTCGAATCTCGAACCCAAACTAGAGAATAATTCAAAAAAGTGAGTGATCAAATTATTTTTGACTTTGTTGTCGTCCCAACTCCCAGAATACCAGTAGGTACCAATAGGAGTCCTCATATGTCTATGTGGACACAAATTAACAGACAAAAAAATAACTGGATCTATGTATTTGCAGACTAGATATTGGTTGCACGTGGATACAAAGAACAAAGTTAGAGACCCCGCAAATTAAAACTTCCAACCACCAATTTGTAGGAGGAATTGGCCCATCATACCAAATCGGTATTGTATGCACTTCCATACATGTTGTTCATACTGATTAAAGCGCGACCCAACTATTGGCCGACTAAGTAATGCCCGTTTTCACCATCAATCCCTAATTTTCAAAATGACCCCTAAGAAAACAAAACTATCCTGTTATGTGTTAACTTAAAAATTAGGGATTGATGGTGAAAACGGGCATAAGTCTACTGCGGAGTTTCTTAGGTCTTAGATTCATCAAAGTAGCTCACCATTTCCCGCGTCCCCCGCAGCCCGGCTTGCCCCCGGGCGGCGGGCGGCAGATGGTCTTCTTGTTGCACGCGCTCGCGGCCGCCACCAGCCACACCAGCCACCACCACACCGCCCACGCCGACCACGCCCGAGACACCGGCTCCTACGGAAAACGTTACAGCATTTACACACGGGTGACACATTATGGAGCTTCTGGGCATAGCAGCAGATACTGGCTCCTACGGAAAACGTTACAGCAATTACATAGACGTGAAACATTATGGCGCTTCTGGGCATAGGAGCAAACACCGGCTCCTACGCAAAACGTTATAGCAATTACACGGGCGTTAAATTTTAAGCTGCTTCTGGGTGTAGGAGTAATGTTACTCTTGAGCACCTTTTAGGCGATTATCACACTGCACCGCGGTCCGCGTGGCTACATATAAAGAATCCCGCGCGCAGACGGGTTGTCAGTGTGTTGTGCCGCGCGTGTTTTCTATACAAACTGACGTACCTACTTGCATACAATGATTAAATCTGTCGTCCCGCGGAGCGCGGTGCAGTGTGATAATCGCCTTACTCTTGTTATATTGGTATAGTACGATAGTATTCGGGCAAGATAACTTATGTAAAACATTTTAGATAATCCATAATAAATAATACTTAGATAATTCGACAACAGCCGACAGGAGAAGGTGTCGTCGGACTGACCGATCGTGATCCGAGGAACGCAGGTTCGAATCCCGCTGCCGCTGGACTACTTACTTTGCCAACCCATAACATAAGCATTTTAGCTGAATTTAATTTATTGATATTATTAAAAAAAGTACCATAATAGCTAGTCGGGGCAGGCTGGTCGCTCCTACCAGTACTTGGGCTTGCAGCCGCCCGGGCAGCGCGGCGGACGGCACGACGACTTCTTCTTGCACGCGAGGGCGCCGACCACCTGCAACGACCGATACTCAATATTCTATCGCTTATTGCTTTACCATATTAGCGCATTTACTAGGTGTTGCAAACGCTCTAACGTTGACTGCTCTTCAAGGTCCAATTTATCTCATTGAAGAAGTTAAGCTGTGTTGATTTTGCATTGCTGCTAAGTACTTAGGTGGGTGTATGGATTACAAAATTAGAACCACAACAGAAATGTATGATGAAACGTAGTAAGGTAGTTACCTAAACACCACCTACTTAGCTATTAAGTAAGTATGAAATTACCAATCGTACCTAATAGGAATAATCTCACAATGATCTTATAAACTCTACATAGTAGATAAGTAGGTAGGCAACCGATATACTTACTTACCTAATACTTATTTTATTTGGTTATGTGGAAGTTCGTACGTTTTGATTTAGTCGAGGACCTTATACATAATTAAACGTTAAAAATCCACATGAATGCCTAGCTATTAAGACAGAAAAGTAGAGGTAAAGTAAGTTTAGCAGAAATCCAAAGTGTTTCAACTTGCGATAGAACAGTGTTGCTAATTTCCATCTGCGAGTACTAAACTGAAACAAGCTAGAAGCAGTTTTACTTTCTCACAGTCACTAGATCAGCTGGTCTTGGTCGCTGAAAGGCAATCACTCGGAGGCACCTGTCACCGACTGACCTGTATCAGTAGACAAAGCAGCAACCAGAGTCCGGTCTGTGAATACTTCATATTTGCTGAGTACTTAGAGATCTCCCATGGGCACCTCACTACATGTTGTTGTTATTAGTTTTGTATTTAGCAGGTAATTTTGCTGGTGACATGGCCGAAAATTTCAATTGTTCTGTTTCTGACTTGCTGTCAAAGCTGATACTTTTTTTTGTGAGGTGCCAGTTCTGAGAGGAGCTGTCATTCTTCTGTGAAGTTTGGTTGTGCTGTTCGTAAAGAGGTTTGCACATTGCAGCTTCTGTAATAACGCCGTTGAGATGCCGTTGAGTTTTGTTTATATTCGCTGCTTCTCCTGAGGCCGGCATAGAGGCGGGCTACTACCTAGCTTGCTTAACAATAAGCCACCTTTCCCTACTATTCCTCATCTTGTTGAGCTGTAAGTATGTGCCAAACCCAGAAATATACAGCCCTCTCTATTTTTAATGATATCTTAACCAGGACTCGAACCAGAGGTAATCAGATTCACCGTTATTTATTAAGGAATACTAGCTTTCCGCCCGCGGCTTCGCCCGCGTGGAATTTTGTCTGTCACAGAAAAACTTTATCGCGCGCGTCCCTGTTTCAAAAACCGGGATAAAAACTATCCTATGTTCTTTCCCGGGACTCAAACTATCCCTATGCCAAATTTCATCAAAATCGGTTGCGAGGTTTAAGCGGGAAAGCGTAACAGACAGACAGACAGACAGAGTTACTTTCGCATTTATAATATTAGTTGGGATTAGGGCCATATTAGAAGACAATACTGTTTTAATCCACAACGAGGAAGCTCTTGGCCTGTATCTCATCTGATGGGAAGTGATGATCAGGCCGAAGGTGGAAGCGAGCTGAGAGGATAATTATAGTTTTAATCTCTGAACCTCATTTCCTTCATCCAATGCGATTCAATGATGCTTATGCCTGTTGATGTTTTACCTAACGGTTTTGACTTCTTCTTCACCATCATAAGTTAGCTAAAGCCCGGTCCGTGAGCACGTAGAATTTTGTCCAATGACCCCAAGCTACACATCCTTATCGCTCGCGCGTGATTATATTGCTGTCGCGACTGTGCGACGGGCGCCCGCAGTGAGGGTGCGAGCGCAACAGCAACATAATTATGCGCGAGCGATAAGGATGGGTAGTTTGGGGTCATTGGACAAAATTCTACGTGCTCGCAGACCAGACCTCAGACAGATACCTCTAACTAAAAGTGGCAGATAAGCATATAAAAACACAGACTCAAGAGTAAATCTTTATTAAAAGCACGTCTAAAAAAACTATCAACAAGGGCACGCGTCCATCGGGCAGCAGAATATCTGCGCGGCGAGGTAGTGCCGCAACGAGCGCCAGTAGCCGCGACACGCGCCGCACAGCGACCGCCGCGGGCCCGCCCCCGCCCCGCGTCCGTCCGCGTCTGAACTACGTGCGCGCCGGTGCGTCGTCGCGTGCAGCGCTTGCAGCCGCTTCGCTTGCGCATACAGCTGCAGCAAGATGAATAGCCTTTATAGCCTTGGACATTTTACACTGCGCTTCTAGTCCCAAACTAAGCAAAGCTTGTACCACAGAATAAGTAATAGTACAGGTACAGAAGGATTACTCCGCAAGACGATTTAAATAAATGCGAGTCTTGCTACGACGCGATACAGTGGAATTCAGCTCGCACAGCACTACGTACCTACAATTTTATTCACCTACAAGTTTTGTCTCTTTCTATCGCGTGCCTCTGAACTCTTCTTACGCTGTTAGGGTTGCTGTCTAGTGAAAAAATAATTAATCTACTTATTTGTAATGAGGTACGTATGTAGGTAAGTATGCATTCATTATGGAAAACCTTGGGAGAGGCCTTTGTCCAGCAGTGGACGTCATTTGGCTGAAACAACAACAACAACAACAACATAGAATTATAATCATCATACTACAACGCACGCCAGCGTCCTGACGAGCGCGCGCGTGACACTCGACTGATATAATACCCGCCGGCGGGGCGCTTCGCTGTAGGTAATTATCGGATGTACCGCGCGGAGTGAGCCAGGCCTGCTTGTACTATGGGTACTAGACGACGGATATAAACATACTTAAATACTTTTTTTTTTGTAAATACATACATATTATCTATATCTATATATATAAAAGAAAGTCGTGTTAGTTACTCCACTTATAACTCAAGAACGGCTGAACCGATTTTGCTGAAAATTGTCAGGGAGGTAGTTTAGAGCCAGGAGAAGGACATAGGATACTTTTTATCCCGTTCGAAATTAAAAAAAGTCTGCTTATTTATTGCCATTAAGGCGGAACAAAGTTCGCCGGGTCAGCTAGTACATATATAAAAGAAAGTCGTGTTAGTTACTCCACTTATAACTCAAGAACAGCTGAACCGATTTAGCTGAAAATTGTCAGGGAGGTAGTTTAGAGCCAGGAGAAGGACATAGGATTTTTTATCCCGTTCGAAATTAAAAAAAAAAGTCTGCTTATTTATTGCCATTAAGGCGGAACAAAGTTCGCCGGGTCAGCTAGTTATACATAGAAAACACCCAGTCCAATACAAACAAATATGTTCATTGTTCATGCACACAAATGTTTGTACTGTGCGGGAATCGAACCCGCAACCTCCGGAATAGTAGTCCGTTTCGAACCACTACACCAAACGGCCGAAAAGGCGTATCAATGAGGGTTTTCGCGTATGAAAAATCCGCCAGATGGCCAGTGGCGGGGCAAGACCTAAATTTGATGTGGGCAAGACAGATTTCGCGAGGCCTTGTTCTGTGGCGACCTGAAGACGGATTTTATGAAATAATAAAAAAAACGGGTCAATGGTCTATTCATTGACAGTTTCTGATTTCTTGATTCAGTGTTTATTTTTAAAGGAATTTTGCGCCAAAGAATAATGTTTGTCACTTAAAACCGTGTTGTTGCTTAATTTTGTGTTTGATTATGGCTGAATTTGTTTGGAAAAAAAATTTTTTTTATTGTTTAGCTATCAATAATTTATATTTAATAGTCAATGTTTCAAAATTTTTGATGCGGGAGGCCCCTTGTTCCGCGAGGCCGTAGGCGGTGGCCCACGTCGCCTACGCCTTACGCCGCCACTGCTGAGATGGCAATACGTAGACGCGAGCTCCAAATGCTGCATGATTGGTTATTTTTGACATGATATTGACAGATATGTCAAAATCCACCAATCACGCAGCAGTTAGACCCCACATCCACGTCCCGCCATCTAGCGGATCTTTCATACGCGAAAACCCTCATTCTTGACTAGGTACTATTAAAAAACATGCATTTTATAACCTCACAAAAGGTCGTAACTGAATTCTTTTTCAGGAAGCCAGTATTGACAGGTAAAAAGGACCCGAAATGCATTTTTCCACACTTCAAATTATCTTTAAACGTCGCTTCTGTAAAATTGACAAAAATCAGTTACGCCTTTTCGTGATTCGATGCAAGAAATTATTGACAAATTCTACGTTCGTTCGTTTCAGCCGAATGACGTCCACTGCTGGACAAAGGCCTCCCCCAAGGATTTCCACAAAGACCGCTCTGTGCTGCCCGCATTCAGGTTCTTCCCGCGACCTTCACCAGATCGTCGGTCCACCTAGTAGGACGCGTAGGAGGTCTGGGAGTGGAACAAATGCTAGAATATTAAAGAACGTGCAGCGGTTGCTGCAGCAAGATGAGCTCGTGAAGCAACAATGGTTGGCAAATGCTACGCTCGTTTATTTCAGCCGAATGACGTCCGCTGCTGGACGAAGGCCTCGCTCAAAATCGCTCCTGCGCCGCCCGCATCCAGGCACCATCACGAGATCGTGGGAGGCCTGGGAGTAGTGGGACAAATGCTAGAATATTAAAAAAGGTACGGGACTATTCCCACCTCTCGTTCGACCGCTGTCCGTTAACATTCCCACCAGCTCGCGATAACTCTTACAATGCGAACAGCAACAGCTAGGGACTGGAATTCGCTACCTGCTGCTGTTTTCCCGAATACTATAATCCCGGCCTTTTCAAGGTGAGAGAGAATAGGCACTTGCATGGCAGATATCAAGGTATCATCCTAGACTGCATTTCACTAACATCAGATGCGATTGCGGTCAAATTATACCTGCCTTGTGTTGCAAAAAAAGATACACATTTCAGTAACCAAATGCATCCCAGTTCCTTGCACGGATATGTTATTCTTCTTCTTTCCGTGCCTCTTCCCATTATTTGGGGTGGGCCCTCCTCGTTCTCATACGCCAGATCGCTCGATCCTGGGTTGTCTCTTCGTTCAGCTGGGCCTGTTTCAAATCCTTTGACATAGTGGACCTCCATGTAGCAAGCGGTCGTCCTCTGCCTCTCTTGCTGTCTGGTAGTGCGAGAGCACGGATAACTATTTATTATTCATCATCAACAGCCCTTTACAGTCCACTGCTGGACTATGAGCATCCTCCACTATAGTGGAGGGTTTTGCCATAATCTCCACGCTTGGCAGGCGGGTTGGAGAGCGCAGTTTAAAAGATTGATGTTTTTCAGAGAGCGCTGCTGCCCATTCTCTGTTTGATGTGTAGTCCCTAAGTCGCCTCTTACGACACCCGCGGGAAGAGTAGGGGTTGGTGACAAATGTATTCTACTCTGCCGTCACCACACGGCTTAAGTATTTATTATTATTTTGTATTATTATTACGAACTTACATGTACAGGATTGTCTAAATCAAAGCCACAGTGAGGATCGCAGACGCTGGAGCTGGAGTCCTCATTGCTGGACTCGCATTTCACGACACTGCAAACATTTCACGGATTGAACTCTGTTTGTGGACAACTCAACGTAAGAGAACCTTATCAGAATGTTTTTGAGGAAACTTTAAAAATTATCGCCATTTAGGTAGGTTTCCTATGATGTTACCAAGGAACCAGCATCACATAAAAGTTAACACCAGGTGCGATTGCGGTCAAATACTAGGTACCTGCCTTGTCTTACATAAAAAAACTAGAGAAGTTTAACTCAAATATTATTAGGTAATCGTATGAATCTTATATTAATTCTTAGTTTTAAGTAGCTACTGATGGCTCCAAGTTTGGCATCCGCTAAGAAAGGATTTTACGAAACTCCACCCCTAAGGGTGTAAAACGGGATCCACGCGTACGAAGTCGCGGGCAGCCGCTAAAGCCTGGTCCGTGAGCACGTCCAATGACCCCAAGCTACCCATCCTATCGCTCGCGCGTAATTATATTGCTGTCGCGACTGTGCGACGGGCGCCCGCAGTGAGTGTGCGAGCGCGACAGCAACATAATTACGCGCGAGCCATAAGGATGGGTAGCTGGGGTCATTGGACAAAATTCTACGTGCTCACGGACCAGGCTTTAGTTCAAAGTATAAAATGTTTACCTTTCTGTGACGATGTTGGGAGACTCCCTCGTCCTCCTGGGCAGAGCGTCGTGCGGTGCGATGTCGAGCGTCGGCGCGTTGGTGACTGCTCGAAGCGTCGCCAGCCGAGAGCAGCGCCGCGAGCGCTCGCCGAGCGTGGCCGAGCGCTCGCCGAGCGTGGCCGAGCGTTCGCCGAGCGCGCCCGAGCGCACTGACTCGCTGCCCACGGCGCGCTCCACGAGCCGCGACGCGCTCGATTCGGGCTTCCACTTTGCCTCCATGTGTTTTGTTGGGATCTACAATGATAATGTATAGTCTGGTCCGTGAGCACGTAGAATTTTGTCCAATGACCCCTAGCTACCCATCCTTATCGCTCGCGCGTAATTATGTTGCTATCGCGCTCGCACACTCACTGCGGGCGCCCGTCGCACAGTCGCGACAGCAATATAATTACGCGCGAGCGATAAGGATGGGTAGCTAGGGGTCATTGGACAAAATTCTACGTGCTGCTCACGGACCGGGCTTTAGATATTTTTCATTTAATCACATTCATTTTGATTTGTCTACTTAACGTAGCAAAGTCTACTGCTAGAAGAGTGCTGCCAAAAACGCCACATAGCTCGATCCTACTTTTCATTCGGCTATTGCCAGCCATCTTCTCTAGGTCGTCGTTCCATCTACCAGGGGGACTTCCTATGCTTTTTTGCTGAGATATGGAAGAAATTAGAGTTGCCTTTCATTCATCCTACAACAATTTCGGCTGTTGTCACTGTAACATTTTTCCTGACCTGATGACTCCTAGTAATTATAAAGAGCAACTTGAAACTATATACTTGCTACGTTTTCTGAGTAGATTCAGCGTCAAATACTTCGTGCCACTCAAAGTAGACAAAAAGTTCGCAACATGTCTTTGTTACGATTGAAATAAGGTCTTTTTGGTCACTGGGTGTGACCACAGAATAATAATAAGTACTACGTACAGAAGTTTTACTTCGCGAAGGTATTTAAAAAAATGTATGCTCAATGTCATTAACAATATGGTGTAATTTAGCTTGTCTCAAGAGTCAAGCACCATTTTGTTGACAAACGTCAGTGATCGGCATTGCGCCGAAGCTATAGGGCTGACTTCGGTAAAATCATGTGACGTGAGGTGCCAAACTGCGGAAAATGGCGGAGGAAATACATGATTTAGCATGAATTATCATGAATAATGTTAACTACTTATTTACCTCTCAGTGTCTTGAGGCAACTTAAAAATGTACATTCTGTGTTTTTATTATTATTTAGGCAGTTAAATACTGCACAGTATTTAGTACACCATTTTCTTTATTTTCTTTCATCATACACAAGAATACGCGTGCGTGAGTCAATGTTCGCTCGTATGTGAGGCCTTGTTGAATAGTATCCTGTAGGTGGGCCATCGTGCGAGTTTTGTTTTCGATGTAAACTCGCGGAGATGAACAGGCCTGGTGTGACGAACTATTTGACACTAAGGCTGGGTTGCACCATCTTGCTTTATCTTTAAAAATCTGTCAAACTCCATACAAAAAGCACGGTTAAAGTTAGGTGGTGCAACTCAGCCTAATTGTACCAAAGACAACGTGTAACCTGAGTGAGGGGCACCACAGTCTTGACCCTCGGCTCCGGCTCCGTGGCGACCAGCTTGTCGGACACGGACACGGAGCCGGACGTGGTGTCCGGGCGCGCCGGACGCAGCGGGCGCGGCGCGGGGCTGCGCGCGCGCGCGTTGAACAGTCGGTTCAACTCGTCCAGTTTCGTCATGATTATCTTGTAGGTCTTGCATTCGTCTGTCTGAATATGAGGTAATGGTTTAATAAAGAAATGGTAGGTACGCACCTACGCGCTACGGGTTGTCCCAAAATTCAACAGAGCTCATATTTTCAACGTGCCAACGAGTGCTAACGAACTGTCAAATAGTAGCAAAAACGGTTTCGTTTGACGTGACAGCGACGGCATCACGCATTTCTTTTTATCACACAGTGTTGCTGCTAGTGAGATCTCGCTCGCTCAGCTCTATTCCGCTATTTATGCTAAGTACCCGCTTCTATATGAAAGAGAAACGAGAAAAAGAAATGAGATCCTTAACCGAAATAAAGTCGTTGACATAGCCCGACGGATTAGCAAGCTGAAGTGGCTATGGGCATGGCACATAGTACGCAGAACTGACGGCCGATGGACGAAATCATTGGGGGTAGACATGACAAGACATGTTTGGCTTTTTACGGTCTTGTCCGGCCTGTCCGGCTTTTCATTTGGCTGCCGCGCCAGGTGAAAGTCGAGCCACAGAATAATACGAAGCGCACGCATCAGGTTGTTGGACGACCGGTGATATAGTATTCACACGTGAGCTATGACACTAATTGTGTTTTGGGACCTGGCCTGGCAACCCTAATTAGGGGAAGCCTATGAAACTCATAAAAACTCATAAAACTTGTTTATTTTAAAAGCATCTTTATACGTCCCACTGTATTAACCCTACCAAGCTGCTTCTTGACAATAAAATAAATGGGCCAGTGCTGAGAAGAAGCAGCGCAAGAAACTCAGTCACAGTGGACGTCCTATGGTTGAAATGATGATGATGATGATGATAAGTACTAAGTACCCGATGTTTGTCTTTCCTGCGTGGGTCGCGCGTGCTGCGGCTGCTGGTGGAAGCCGAGGAGGGCGCGCGCGCCGCCAGCCGCTCGCACAGCTGCGCCACGCGCGCGATGGCGTGCTGCTGGTCGCGCAGTGCGCGCGAGCACGCCGTGCGGAAGGCGCGCAGCGACGCCGCCGACGCCGACGCCGCCGCGGGCGCGCGCGATCGGCTTCGGCTTGCGCTCTCACCACTCGCACGCCTGCATGAGTATCATTTAAAGCAGCGATTCCCAAACTTATTTTGTCTACTGCCCACTTTGAGAATAAATTCTTTTTAGCGCCCCCATTTGTAGTCGAGTGTCGAGTGCTTAGTCGGTGTCTAAGAGTCCTCCTAGTAAATGACGTCTCCCAAGACTCTACACAACTCTCTTACCGCCCCCCTTTAAGCCTGCAGCGCCCACAAGGGGGCGTTATCGCCCACTTTGGGAAAGACTGATTTAAAGGTATAAGTCTGCGAGCACAAAACTGACGGCCGAGTGCGATGGGAGCTGAAGCATTTCATAGAAACCGTGGTGGCTCGCAGTTTGCGGTCTGCAGTCTGTAGTCTATCTTGAACACCATTCACGCAATGAGGGCTATCGTTTTTATACTTAACAGTTGGCACCCCTGGCGATTGACAGGACCTTACTCTACAGTGGCGCCATCTTGATGAGGGCAAATGCGATAGTCCTCCTACCACTTTAGCACTCACCAGATAGTGCCACAGTCTTCGCTACTAGCAAGTGACAGGACCTTACTCTACAGTGGCGCAAACTGGTGAACGCTAAAACGATAGCCCTCATTCCCACAGTTTTATCTTCTGCAAAACTCAATCGGCACTCACCACTGTCTGTCGGTAGGTAAATAAGGTACTAGGTAAGGTAGGAGCAATTCTCTGAGAAAACCTCTATAAAAAACAACTGGAGGAGGGAATTGGGGGATCCCTCAAAGCCAGAGAGGCTCGCTCGTGAGCGAGCCTCTAACCTGAGGCGGAGCTGCGGACGAATGTCGCCGCTCCGCTTCTTTGGGCTCCGCTATACACTGAAACGATCTTATACACTGCGGGAAATTGTCAGAGACGAAACGCGAGCACGCACACCAAAGTATGGGCGACACACGGCGAATATAACTGAAGTGCATGTTTACCTGCGCGGCCTGCGGCGCCGGCGCGCGTAGCTCCCGTCGGAGAGCCCCGAGTCGCGCGACAGCTGGCCGCTGGAGCCGGGCTTGCGCGCGCCGCCGCCGTCCACCACCAGACCACTCCTGACGCACAAAGAAGGAATTCATTAGGCCTTATTTCCGCCTTAGCCTCCAAGGCCTAGCCAGAGGGGCCCTCAGTGGCGAAACCTTAACATGAGTTGTATAGAATCTGCTGCTGGCTGCCGCAGACCATCGATTTTTCGTCCGCTGATATTTTAGTCGGGGAGTCAGTATTCAAAGTGCGCACATTACACCGATTTGCGGTCGTTTCTTTATACAAATTAGAATCGGGCCCAACTATCGGCCAACTATACTAAGTATTTAAGTCGGTGGCTTGCGCTGCTTCTTCTCAGCACTGGCCCATTTATTGTCCCGAAGCAGTGGTAGGGTTAATATTGGGACGTGTAAAAGTGCTTTTTAAAAGCCTATTTGCAAAAATAAATGAGTTTTACGAGTTTGATTTTAATGGGTACAGTATACCTTCCCTGCCCATTGCCACTTCAGTTTGCTAATCCGACGGGCTATGTCAGCAACTTTGGTTCGTTTACGGATCTCTTCATTTCTGATTCGATCTCGCAAAGAAACACCAAGCATAGCCCTCTCCATAGCACGCTGTGCAACGCTGGACGCAGGCCGCTACCAATAGATCAACATGGAAAGCATTGGGGGAGGCCTATGTTCAGCAGTGGACGTCCTATGGCTGAAATGATGATGATGATGATGATGACAGTATACCTGGGTACCTGCCGCAGCGGCGCGTGGTGCGTCTGCGGGGCATGCGGGGCGTGCGAGGGGCGCGCGCTGCGCATGAAGCGGTCCAGGTCGATGATGTCGCCCGCCGCGCGCGCGCCGCCGGCCCACGAGTCGGACGACGACATCACCTGCGGTATAAATAATAAAATAAATAAATATCTTTGGACAATCTCACACAGCGCCATCTAGCCCCAAAGTAAGCAATTAATATGCTTGTGTTATGGGTGCTAGCTTAACGGATATACTACTTATATACTTTTTTTTTTTAAATACATACATATTATACATAATAACACCCAGACCCGCCACAGAAATTAAAATTCATCATTTCAATTTCTGCCCGGCCGGGAATCGAACCCGGGACCTCTCGGCATAGTAGTCCGTTCTGAACCACTACAACAAACGGACGACATTTTGTCCAATGACCCCAAACTACCCATCCTTATCACTCGCGCGTAATTATGTTGGTGTCGCGCTCGCACACTCATTGCGGGTAGCTTGGGGTCATTGGACAAAATTCTACGTGCTCGCAGACCGGCGAGTTTAGTGTTTAGTGTCGGCGCAAATGGGCCACCGACCACAGCCACCGATGGCCAGCGACGGCGACTTAACACACTTTTTAGGGTTCCGTAGTCCTGACAAGGAACCCTTATAGTTTCGACATGTCTGTCTGTCTGTGTGAGGTTTTGCTTGGAAACTATTGGCACTAGAGAGCTGTAATTTTGTGGAGGTATGTCGGTCATTCTCCGGATCTGGATTATTTTGTTGATTACCCCGACCTTTTTTATTTTTGAATTTAGAGTAAGTTTAGGTAAAACATTTCAAAATAGACATTATTACGAGCATATTTTTTATATTGGCCCATCTGTAGCAAGCAGGAATAAAAAGTTATGCGACATCAAAATTTTCATGGTCGGGGTAATCAAAGTTGGGAGTCAGAGTAATCAAAAATAAAACAAAATATCTTATTTTCTAAGGTTTTTTTTTTAAGTTATGGTAAAATAAATGTTATTATAACTAGCCATTTGTTATTTTGATGTATAAACGACAATATTGTAAAGTTTCAACAAAATCTGTTAAGTAGTTGTTGCGTAAAAGAGTAAAAAACATACATGGTAATTTTGCTTATCAAACGTTATTTAGTTAATCATTCATTAGTAAAATTACAGTATTATTGATTACTCGGTGACAAAAGTCGGGGTAATCAAGGTCGGGGTAGTCAAAAAATTAAGGTTTATCCTGAGCCCTGCCCAATCTGTAAGTTGAATCCCATATGTTTTAATACACAAAAATGCGGTTACATGGACCATTATTCCTGTACATTCTCAAGAACTTTCCATGTAAAGAAACCTAAAAAAACAGGATAGAGTAAATCAATCGTGCACTGAACCAAGGTCGGGGTAATCATATTCTTATCTCGATAACTCCGAAATCCTGCGACGAGTTGCATTACCGATCACCTCGGCACGCAGGCCACCACTAAAGGTTCACGGGGGAGGATAGAGATCGTTTCTTAATTGCGTAGCTAGGGACGTAGGCGCACATTAGTGACGTGTCGGGGTAATCACGGTTAACGCCCGGACACAACTTCAAATAGTTATTTTACAAAACCTTTTAGTCATATAGTTATATCGTATTTAATTTATCAGTGTTTATTTAATCAGTAATCGATTACATAAGCATTGAAAGCGGTAATAATAACGGATTAATTTATACGAGCAAATTTGTTCTGAAATCGGGAGCGCGGACACGTCGTGGTAATCAATTTTTGACGACTTACGATTTTTTTAAAATTACTTAATTAACTATTATTAACTATCTCTGTGGTTTAACAACAAGAACCAAAGTTATACTATTAGATAAAAATATTTGTTACTAAAATATTATGATATTCGGGTACTTTTTGGCCCCGGACACGTAATTTTCTTGGCCGGTGGAATGACCCATGTATATTAATCACACCGACAAAAAGGTAAAATAAAATTTTGAAAAACAAATTTTTTTTTATGGTAGGTAGCTCCCCTACCCCGAAAGATTGTGAAATAAATTTCTTAATGAGAGTTTCTTCAGTAGGTGCACAAACGAAAACGGTTAATTCTATACTTTTTATTGGACAACGATGAGCTCTTGACCTACATCTTACCTCATGCAAAGTGAGACTGAAGGTGGAAGCGAGCTTCACCTGGAATCCTCAAGAGAAATTGGTAATCTTTACCTATATACCTTTCATTTGAGCACTTGACTAAGAAACACCTTACAAGAATATGAGAGTTCTGATTAACTAAATTGATTGCAGGTTCCGAAACAGTTATTCCCCGATACTGCGAAACCTTCGCCGATTGGGTTTCATTGACGATCAGCAGTAGAACCTCTAGTCTTGCCCTGTGAGTCCATTAGATACAAAATTGGAGTGAGGCTGCCTGCGTTTGCCGTAGGACTTGTTTTCCTTGGTTGACGTCACAAAACTGGGAACACTTCACAGAGTAATAAAATAAGAATACTAACTGGCTGTAGCCCCGAGGAAAGCAGACCAGGCGTGCGGGTGCCGCGTGGGCCATCGCTCCGCGTCAGCTTCGGACCTGACAGCAGCTGTCATCCGCCAGACTGCTGACGGATCTGACACTTGAGCCTATGGCCTCGAAGAAGGAGGTTGTGGGGTGCTGAGTATGGATAGCTGAATTAGATTTACAAAACTCTTGAAACCGCGCTGTATCCACTCATCCAAAACAATGTACTTATCATATTAAGTGTTTTAAAGTTTATTTACTTACCTATGTATTTTAAATATTACATTGTATCCTTCCTGAGTCGTTGCACAGGTGTTTTATTTCCGAAAATACGCAGTAATCATTGATGGCGATATCATTCAATAATCAACTTTATACCGATTGTAAAAAGGACAATAGTTTGTAATAACTGGTCGATTTTGTCGAAATTTGAATACATAACCTAAACAATGATTAAGTTTGTACAGTTGTATAAATTTTGTAAATATTATCGTATATTTTGTGAAGGACGTTCTATTAACGTCAAATTGTACCATTTTTAGGCACCTCCAACTGTTTTCTAATGGTATAAAAGCAGTGTTTCGGCTGAGGCCGGCATTCTGAGCTCCTCAGTCGACCCGCAACAAACAACATGAACTTCTCACTGGTAAGTTTTTCTTGGTTTTATTCTATACTTCCCAATGTTGTTTGTACCTACTTATACTTAGGGCAGCATCATTTCAACCACAGGTCCACCGCTGGACGTAGGCCTCAATGATTTCCATGTTGACTACTTAGTCGGTAGCAGCCTACATTCAGCGCCCTCCTTTATGAGGTTCTCCGGGACAAACTTGACCTTCACTGGGTGGGTTTTTTATAGGCGGTCAAGCTGTAGATCCTGGCTAAAGGTACACATCAGTTGCAGCGGTGGGAAAAAGAAGTGGGAATAGTCCCATAAAGGTCGTCGGCCTTGGACGAATAAACCACGTCCAAGTCGTCGGACCACGAGGCCTCCACACCAGGGCCCCGATTGCGCTAATTTGTAATGTCTTCAATTCGTTCGCATTTCATCTCTAGTCTACACTCCAGTCACGTTCCGATTTCATTCCAGCTGATGTGCAATTTGGTAGCGCGGTAAAGTTCACGCGTAAACAAAGACGAAACAACGGATTTATGCACTTTTCATTAAAAGTCCGAATAATTATCTTATTTTTAAACTAAAACATAGAATATATTCGTGAAGCCTTTGACTTGCGTGTGAGAAAAAGTAGCTTTCTGTCAGAGCCCCGATTACGGTACGCGCTAACAGCTGACGTACGCTGTTGAACGACCAATCGTATCGCAGAATCGAGAAGCGTGTCTGGATTGGAAACGTTAAAAGTTACCGTAATCGGGGCTCAGAGCCCCGATTACGGTAACTTTTAACGTCTACAATCCAGACGCGTTTCTGATTCTGCAATACGATTGGTCAAAACAGCTGACGTACGCTGTTGAACGACCAATCGTATGGCAGAATCGAGAAGCGTGTCTGGATTGTTGACGTTAAAAGTTACCGTAATCGGGGCTCTGGTTTTATTCAAAAGCGCAGTTGCAATCCGATTACGTTACAACTTCGTTTGAACTAGCTGTCAAAACGACTGCGCGATACGGATTTGTCAAAACAGCTGATGTTCGTTCGTATTCCAGTCGCGTAGCAGTTGTTGAAAATATTTAGCGCAATCGGGGCACTGAACCGCTGCCCCATCGGGCGCCAGTTCTGCTATGTGCTAATGTGCCCCGCGCACAGGTGTGTGACCTTTGTGTGTGACGTTCGCTAACTACTAGCAACTACTTAGTGGTGACTGAGTTTGTTCCGGCGCGCCGTTTCTTCTCAACGCTTGCCATATTATGTTTGTCTCGAAGCGCTGCANTTGTAGCCAACAGTCTAGCATAATTTATTTAATTTTATTTATTTATTTAAGACGTACGTATTACTTATTTATACTTTACAAGTTCAATGTGGTAAATCGATAATGCAGGCAGAGTCCTTGAGAAATAAACTTTTATCTAAGTAGGTACATAGCATAATAATACATAAAGGCTTCTGCCCACGATTTTACCCGCGTGGAGGTCTGTCATAGAACGGTTTGTCACTCTTCTCGACAAAAATCTATCTGGTAATAAAACTTAAGAAAAATTATATAAAAGCTTTTATCTTTTATTTTCTCACTTTAAGATTAAGTTTAATAGCAATAAAATGTACCTACCTGCTGTCATTTTTGTGGGTCTATCTCTCCATACCAAAATTAACCAAAACGGATTAGTACTTACTTGTGATGTCATCCAGCCAGGTATAGGGAACAGTGTGTATAATAAATATTAAGAATATGGACTACTAGCGGCCGCCCGCGACTTCGTACGCGTGGATCCCGTTTTACCCCCTTCATCTATCTTACGCGGTTTAGATTTTTTCATACAAATGTTTTTTCCCGCTAACTCCCGTTCCCGTTGGAATTTCGCAATATCCTGTTGTAACTAAGCTTTAAGTTTACTAAGGGACCTACATACCAAATTTCAAGCGTCTAACTTAAGCGGTTTAGATTTTTCATACAAAAGGATTTTCCCGCTAATGCCCGTTCCCGTGGGAATTCCTAAGTATCCTATAACCTGCCCAGGAGTATGAAGAATAATTGTACCAAGTTTCATTAAAATCCGTCGAGTAGTTTTTGTTTCTATAAGGAACATACAGACAGACAGACAGACAGACAGACAGACAAAAATTTTACTGATTGCATTTTTGGCATCAGTATCGATCACTAATCACCCCCTGATAGTTATTTTGAAAATATATTTCATGTACAGAATTGACCTCTCTACAGATTTATTATAAGTATAGATTTGATTTGCTAAAAAACGGTAATAAACACTATTCGGAATTGCAAATCAATGAAAGTAGGTAATTGTTATTTACAAAACAGCATGTAGAGAAAGCGTGATATCAAAAAATTTTATGCATTTGATCGGGTTTTAATATTTATTTTGGACTAGTCTTAGACCGCGGCATTATCTACCTTCATTCCTACGAATTACAAAATAATAATTTATTCGTTCGTTCGTTCAATAGTCTTCAAACAGTTACGAGTCTATGATCTTTTATGCTTAACAACGCAGGTAGGTATTTGACCGCAATCGCACCTGGTGCTAATTGAGATGCAGTCTAGGATGGTACATAATCTGCCCTGTGTAAGTGCCTATTGACTCTCGCCTTGAAAATGCCCGGATTATAGTCTTCGGGAAAGACAGCAGCAGGCAGCGAATTCCAGTCCCTAGCTGTTCGCATTATAAAAGAGTCATCGAAACGTTTAATGTGAGCTGGTGGAATGTAAAGTCAGTTCAATCATTCTGTCTCCATTGCAAGACCACGACCCTCTGTAATTACCAGGGAAAAATGAAGGATTTGACCTAAGTACACTCCTCACGCTGGCCAGACGGGTTGGGGAGATTTTTAAGATAAAAAAATAATCTATAAGATCACCATTTATAAAATCTACTACGATATTTAAGAGAATAAAATAAATCAACGTGCGATAGTAAATAAAATTACTAACAATAGATATTTTGTTTTTCAATTTCACTATTGAATACTGAAAGTTACTCATTCATGAAAATAGATTTAAACGTTTATGACAATACAAAATTATTTCATCTTTATTATTGAGCAAAAAATAAAAACTTGGCAAATGCGCGTCGGTCAATAACAGTTAATTATTTTACTTTTACTTTAAATGAAACAAAACCAAAAAAATATAAAAAACACCTTTTTATACAATAAAATTACGGGGAACCCGCTTTATTTTTAATTTCATTTCATTTTATTACGAGTTACGAGTATTATGGAAATCCTTGGGGTAGGCCTTTGTCCAGCAGTGGACGTTATTTGGCTGAAATGAACTGAACTTAATGAAATTTAATAACAGTCCTACAATCATCATCATCATTATTTCAGCCTTAAGACACACACTGCTAAACATAGGCCTCTAGCTCCCAATGATTTCCAAATTAGCCGGTTTGTAGCGCATTTAGCGATTTCCTACTACCTGTATGAGGTCTTCAGTGTAAGCTGTCAACCCATAAGGTGGATTATTTGACGTCTTACGGTGCTCTTGACCGATACGTAGCCTCAACTCCGGAACCTTACTGCCCCATCCCAGTTGTGCGTGCTACGTGCCCTGCGTGCTATGTGCTATAATGTGACGGATTAGCTAGTTTCCAAGCAAAACCTCGGACAGACAGACAGCCAGACATATCGAAACTATAAGGGTTCCTTGTCAGGACTACGGAAACCTAAAAACAGACAGCAGAGTACTTAATCCCTAGTCCTAAAAGTTTGCGTAATATTTTAGTGTATATTTTCACTTATCATCCTTAGGGGAGGAGGCCTTTGTCCAGCAGTGAACGTCATTCGGCTGAAACGAACGCACTGACCATTAATTTTCCATCCATATCAAAGCCAATGCTCATACAAAAACCTAATCACCACTTATAGTCCAATGAGCGACTTTCACACACATGAATGATGTCATACACCCCAAAGAAAAACTCTTCATTTCAATATCAAGAAAACCAAGAGAAAAACGCGATCGATTAAATACACGCAAAATAAGTGCCATATTAATCGACATTGTGATCACGACAAATTTTGTATCGACGTCTCATCAAACACTGAGGAGTTATGTGGTGGCAATAGGGGTTATTTTTGAACAAAATGCACAGTCCAAGATCTCTTACATCATGCTTATAATGTTGTATAGGTACTAACTAGAGAGTTGATACTCTTTGGTTCTGAAGGTCCTACAAACGTTACATTATTATCTGTTTTTGAGCTCGAATCACATACAAAGGATTCAGTAAATATTCTGATAAATCAATCAGACACAAACGTGTTACATCCTAGTGGTCTTTACTCTATCAGGATGAAAAACGTTTGTGACAGTTTCTGAACCAAGAATTACAGCTTGAGCGTGCTCATCTTTTACATAAGGATGATTTAGGCCCTAAATCACCCTAAATTTTAGGGTGATGATGACTGTGGGTCATTAGTCGTACAAAATTA